TCTGTTATAACCCCTGTATGGATAGCTAGCTAGATTGTGCCCACCATCCTAAAACAGAGCTTCATTTTGTTATTTGAGCAAATGCCGATTATGGTTTTATTAGCTCAAAGTGACATATGATGGAATATGTTCTGTGTCGTGTCCTATATTGTCTTAATTTCAGACACCCCTCCCCTTTACACACTAATGGGTTTTTTTTTGGAGTATCAACACTGACAAAAACAGGCAATCCTTAGTAAGTGTGCTGAGGACACTCTACTTGATATGTAAAGCAGTGAGCCTAGTTGGCCTTTAAATTCATCCAGGAGAGCAAATTATTGATTTTGTGTAATTTTAATTTTTAAACGTGCTGGGTGTTCTTGGTAATATTTATTAAACTGTGTTTTTGTGCTAGGTTCTTTAACATTTGTGTCCCAATATGAAGAATAACAACTAACCTGAATGATTTTAAATGACTGAAGGAAACACTGGCGTATATAAAAGTTACTTGGAAAAAAGTGAATACTTAACAGTATTTAGAATGTCCAGATTTCTGCATTTTTTTTTACTTTTGTATATATCTTATATCTCCAAAATAAAAAAAAAATTATAGCCTAACCAAGCACAAAATTCTATTAATATGTGTTTTGGTCAGTATCTGTCCAGGAGCTTAGTATCCAGCTACTTCAAATAACTTTAACCAGTTGAAACATAGTCATAAACCAAGAAGTCCATCGTTAAGACTTCAGTTTCTCTGAAACAGTTTCCATCAATGAAGGAACGAAAATCTATATACTTTACTACAATGGAAAAAGACCTTGGATGTTCCCTTAGAATTTATTCACTTAATTTTACAGATGATTATAAACCATAATTATCTGATTTCCCAGATTAAAAGCTGTTGAGAAGCTGTCATTTAGGAAATTGAGAACAACAAGAAACAAGAACCGTGACTTGAAAGGATCTCTATTCAGACAGAAACACAGGCAGCAAAAATGACCGTTCTTTGTAGTACAATGCATCATGTTGTAGTGTTTACGAAGAAGAATTCAGATTATGGTCAATATATTTTGCCTTAAAAGGCATGAAAGTATGTCATATATTTAAGAGAGTCATTTAAAATTCAATATTGTTTAATTAAAATTAATTTTATAACTTAAAGTACTTTACTTCATATATTACCGTCTGTAGAACATTGTACCTGAATTATTCTGTATGAATGATGTTAGTGTATTTATATGTTGTTCCAGAAAGCTGAGAGATAACATATCTTAGCCCAGTGGTTCTACTCCAGATCCCTTATGCAAAAGAGATTTTGACTCAGAATCCTGACATGCACAACAAAGAAGGGAAGAGGTATTCTGGTTTCAGTGGGTGCACAAACGTTCCTGAGTCTACCTGGAGTCCTCCTTCCCATCATATTCAGGGACTTCTAGGAGCCTGCAAAATCCCAGAGCTCCGTAGAACTTAATGCAGAGTGTAATGTCAGGCAAACAGCTGGACCCATACAGGAGTTACTGGTAGGGAAGGAGGCTTCCAGGCATCCTTAAATCATAGCTCCTAAGTGGTTGCACACCTTTGGTGGTATTACTTTGCTTGTCCGCAGCGTAATCTACTAGGGGTTTTGTGGATAATGAGTAGACTGGAATCAACTCATTTCCTTAGCATCACTTTAACTTCAATTAGCAACATGCCTCAAATACCCCATGCATTTTCTGCAGGTGGCATGAAAGCAGTGATCCGTAGCAGGATATCCATGGGAAACAGGAGGGGAACAATAATTTGCTTATGGGCATTCTGTGAAAATTTGCAAGATAGAATTTTATTATTGTTTTGATTGCTGCTGCTGCGGTTGCTATTACTGCTTCATGTTTTCTTCTGGTTCTTGCTGTTTCTCCCCCTCCTCCTCCTCTTTCTCCTCTTCTTTTTTTTTTTCTTAGTTGTAGAGCAAGACACTTTTTAGTAGTGGAGCTAGATGCTTTGGTTTCCCTTGTCCTTTGTTATTTGCAATAGGGAACTGTCAAACTTATTTAATGTGCTAGACCATGTTCTTTCTTCAGGAAGAAGAAATCCAAGAGTAATTAAGGCATCTGTAAGCAGAGTAAATAAACCTCAGTCAGTGGATATTTTCTATAAGTTTCTTTGCTGCAGTACTGCGGTGTTTTAGGTCCTTTGGTTGGTGGCTCAGAACACTGTGTAAATACCCCATGTTGACTGAGTGAAGTGGAAGACACAGGAGGCTGCAGTTTCCTTCCTGACTCTGCCTCTTCCAAGGTGGTTGGTTGCAGCTCCTCCAGGCTCCTTTGGCAACAGCAATACCTTATTCCTTCCTACCTACCTGCCACAGTTGGCTCAAAAATTATACCTCGGCAGGGGAAGCCACTCGTCACAGGTAGGGAAGGTTGCCAGCAATTGCTGTGAGTGTCTTCTTTAAGAATAGGGACTCAGGGTGTTTCACACCTGGATGCTTTGATAGACTATTTGACAGATTGGCTTTGTTATAATAAGTTGCTTTCAGTGCTCAAAAGGAAAATTATTCACCCAGATCCTTCCAGTCTGTCCTTTGTAGAGAGGTCTGAGAAGTTTTAGTTTAGATCCTACATGATACCAGCAGTAATGAAATCTAGATTCCACTCATCCATCTCTCTCCCTGCAGCAAATTTTTTACTGTTCGAGAAAAGATAAACATTCAAGTTTTTTTTTATTGTCAATTTAAACTAGTACTGACTGTCAGAGAAGCCAAATTATAATGCTTACAAGCATAAGCTCTGGAGCCAGACCACCATAATAGACCACCTGACTCTGCTCTGCCCTAATTAGACAACCTTAGGCAGGTCACTTACTGTGCCTCAGTTTTCTCATCTGTGAAATGGGGATGGAAAATATTTCACAGGGTTGTGAGGGTTAAGTGAATTACTATTTGTGTAGTATTTGTAAGAGCAAGTGCTATATTCCTGTTAGCTGCTTTTGCTGCATTTGCTGCTATTATTATTATTATTGCTTCCTGGTTGTAAAAGCTAGACTTAGCTTCTTTATTTCCTGAGGATTTGGGCAGAAACTCAAGTAGCTTAGTATAAGTCTGTGCCTGGGATAGAATCCCAAAGTGAGTAGCCCTTGAAATAGGGACTCTTCAGCAGTAGGGAAAGAATGCTTGTTTTGAACTTACACCTAGGTTTGGATGTTGGCTCTGCCCCTTAACTGCTTGAAAAAAAATGTCAAAATATATTTTAAAATGGAAGATAATAATGCCTACATTGGTTACGTCATGACACTTAGGAATAATAGACTAAAGAGCCTGCTTCTCATTATATGCTCGATATTTATAGCAGCTACTATTATTATACTTTGAAGAAACAATCTAGGTCATCTTAAGTTGCGTGGATATGGAGTTGTTTGGTGAGTGGAGAGACTAGTGATGAGGTTTGTCATAGTATTTAATGTTTAAGATGAAGTTTTAAATTTGTATAGTAATAGAAATAATTGAAATGTTCGCTTTATTTATGTGTCCCCGTTTTAATACCAGGGAAGTCTTCAGAACACACTGTTAACGTTTCTTTCTTGTATTTTGAATTGAACGTTGTAGAAATCCGCCCTCAGGAGGAAGTGTGCAGTCTGTAAAATCGTCGTCCACACCGCCTGCATTGAGCAGCTAGAAAAGGTGAGAGAGCGCCACCTGCTGTCGTCTTATTGCATTGCAAGTGTTTGGTCTTCAGAGATCAGGTGCAAATTTCTGTTTCCAACTTTGGAAAACAATGCCCTTTAAAAAGCTGAAAGTCCGATATTATTTTCCGATTTTTATTGTGGAGAGACTGTGTCTGGGTATTTTTCTCTGTTTTTTTTTGTGGTTTTTTTTTTTATCTTTTTTTTTTTTGCTTTTTGGGAAAGGAATTGTTAAATTTGGGGGGAAAACCCGGTTTTCCCCCATTTTTTTTTTTTTTCTTTTCTTGGTTCTTTTTTTTTCAGGTTTTTTTTTTCCCCCTTGGGTTTTTCCCCAGGTTCTTTTATTAAGAGAATTTCAATAAGCTCTTTAAAAGTATTATTCAGGTATATCTGACCTGTGTGAGCTTACTTCTTCCCAAGGCGGCTGCAAGGGAGAGAGCCGAGCCGGAAGCCGCTCTCAGTCCGGGCAGTGTTCCTGCTTGTGCGGCACAAATGTGCGGGTGGGGCTGGAAGTGGCATCCTGGTGGTGTATTGCTTTGAGAAGAAGTGGATTCTGCAGAGTCCACTTATTTGCCGTTTGGGGGAAGGGAAAGGCTCCAAGAGTGAGTTGTCTGCTCTCCTACTCCCTAACACACTCCTTAGTCTACATCCATGTGTGAGTCTCCATGCATTATCTGTGTTCTTGAGCTGCTATGTGTGAACGTGCTGAAATTCATTCAGTTGCACTGTGACATTCAGTTTCACTGACATATGACCAATTGTCGCCAACTGGTATCTTGTGGCAATGACTATTAACATTGCATCTTAACAATTCCTTTCCTGTCCCAACACCACATATTCATATACTCTTTCGTTCCTATGCTCCTTCCACTTTGTCAAGTAGCTAAAGAAAATAAATATACCCACCAGGAGACCTCCCTGTCTAAAAAAAAGGCAGTACTGAATGCTTCTGTAAAGAATAATTTCATGTGTGTGTTTGAGTAATCATCATAACATTAAAAATTTGTCAAGTTTACTTTTAAAATCTGAAACCCAGCTGGATAGCTTCGGCTGCCACTTATCTTTCCTCTGACTCTTTCTTATCTCTGTTTTCCAAATTTGTGGTGTAAGAGCACTGTTGTTTAAAGATACTTTGATTTCCTCAGTGAGAATGAAGGACATGGATTGGAAATACAGAATCACTTAAGATTTCTGTAGATTCTCTAATGTGAGGATTATCAAAAGACTAAGACTAGTGTTATTCTTTGGAAGTTTTGTTTTGTAGTCTTGGTATCTGTCATTCTTGATTTTTTTTTTTTTTTGGTAACTGTCTAGTTTACTGCTTATCCCTAATATAATATGCTTTTCTTTTTAAATGACAGATTAATTTCAGATGTAAACCAACATTTCGAGAAGGGGGCTCAAGATCACCAAGAGAAGTGAGTATTTTGAGAGCTCTGTTTCAAATGCAACCTTTGATTTCCCATTGATTCGTTGCATTCATAGATGTTCACCAGACATTGGAAAGCAAATTCTATCTCCCTCCATTCTACATCATTGTTAATATATCAATAAATACAATCAATAAAATCTCCAAGTATAATATCCTCGACGTGTGCCCACTGTACATTATTCTTCTCATGCAATGCACTGGGGAGCTAAGGTCTTACTGAAAGAACCAGAGAGTGGGGGGAAGGGTGGTGATAGAATTTAGAGTGGGTGTCAGCTCTTCAGGGGGCAGCATGGTCAGTGGCTATTCGTCTGAACACTGAAGTCAAACCGTCTGTTTTCAAAACCAGCCCTGGTGCTGTGTGATCTTAGGTACCTCACGTAATCTCTCTAAGTCTCAGTGTTTTAATTAGTTAAGTAAATCAATCACTCAATCAGAAGATAGAACTCCATTCAATAGTCAGTCCCTGACCGTACAGTCTGCTGGTGAAGACAAATAGGTAAATAGGCAAGTAGGATGAAATTAGGATTCTATTTTAGTGGCAAGCAGAAGTATGACAGGAGGAGATGGCACTTAGGTATATCTGTTTGTCCAACTTTTATTTAGAGCAGACACCAAGCACAGTGCAGGGAAAGTTAGAGAAGGTGAGCAGGGTTCTCAGGCCTCCTGTGCTGTCCTGGACAGTCTAGCTCCAGGCCCCAAACTGCTTTCCCCAGTCAGCAGAACCAAAGCCTGCATTTAACAGACCCCACCTTCCTTAGAGGGAACATAGTGAGTAAGATGTAAGAGCCGAGAGATAAGCTGAGAGCTCGATCCTGAAGGTCCTTCTTAGTCATGCTGTCAGTTGAGTGTTTTATCATCAGGGTAGTTGGGAAGGGGGCATTAAACTATTTTAAGCAGAATATATTATTCAGGCAGCAGTGTGGAGAGAATATCATGTGGTCCAAGAGTAATAATATTGAAGACAGGGAGATAATGTAAGCAGCTATGCTAGAAATCTAGGAAAGGAAAAAAGGATACCTGGACCAAGAGTAACATTGTTGGTAGATATGAGTTTGTAGTAAGTGAAGCTGATAGAATGTATAGTAGATTGGATTTTGGACACAAAGAAGGGGGAGCCCAGGTAAAACCAGACGTCTACCCCGGAACACTGATTAGATATTGGAAAATGAGTTGATTTGAGGGTGGGATGGGGAGAGGATGAGTTTACTTATAGAGCTATCAAGTTTGAGGTGTCCCTGCAGCCCCCAGTGGAAGAGTCCCAACAGAAGACATTAGGTACATGAGTTTGGAGTTTATGGAAAGATTGGGCTGGCGGTGAGACCTTGGTGAGTCATCTGCACATAGCTATAGTAATTAAAGCTACGAGAATAGATGAATGTGTCTTATAGGATAGTAATAGGAGATATCTGAGAAGCACAGACATTTTAAAGACAGTTAACAAAAAGACACCATGAAAATGAATGATCTTGCTATTGACTAATACAAGAGGACTGGGGAAAAAACATGGAAAGAGAATAGGTTGGGGGTGAAGGTTGTAGAGAGAGGAAAAATAGTTGCCCCCATCAGCTGTCCCCTCCCCACTGTGCCTGTGCAGGGTGGCAGCGATAGGAAAGTAGGCAAAAAGTGACAGGGCCGGTGCCTTCAGCGCCACCCGGAGTGTGCTACAGCAGTGGCCAGAAGGTGACTCAGCGACAGCTCCAATGAAGGGGACATTTTATTGAGGAAAATAAAAGAGAGTTTCATGTTCTTAAGATGGAGTTTATGAATTTACAGCCAGGGGATCCATATGTCGGCTTTCAGCTCCCTCTCTTTAGAGAGAGAGAGAACTGTAATTGTACGTGCAGTTTTTCTAATGCAAGGTGCTTTAGGTTTTCATTAGGTTTATCTCTTCTCTGAAGCCAGACCCTCCATCTGGGCTTTGGACACTCTTTTTTTTTTTTTTTTTTTTTTTGTCTTCTTTTAGGGCTTTTCTACATTTTCAACTGCTTCTTCCCACTTTTGGATTATTTGCCTCAGCATAAACATTCTCTAATAGTTAAAAAAAAAAAATACTACCTACCTATCATATCTTCCCTGATGCTCTGATCCTCAGTTTTGTGTTCACTGCTAAGCTTCCAGAAAGTGCTAACTATGTAAATTATTTTCAGTTTGTCACTTTCTAGTCATTCTAACCTGTCCTGATCCGGTTCCTACTCTATCCATTTACTGGAATTGTTTTTGTCAGTGGTGCCATTGGTCTCCCTCATGGCAAATCCATTAGGGATTTATTTTTCTGTTCTTTTCTTATTCAGTCTTTTAAAAATATTCAAAATATTGCAGACTCCTTCCTTCTTACAATTTTCTCCTCTCTTGACTTCTAACAACTCCTTCTTAATTTTCCTCTCCATAGTTCAGCCCTTTCTACTCTCCTTCCTTGGCTGCTCCCCTGACCTCTGGTGTCCCTCTGGCCTTAGCCCTTGTTCATTTCTCTTCTGTCTCTCCACTCCTGTTAGAAGAGCTCATCCAGTCTCCTGGCCTGATTACCCACCTGTGGGTTGACAGCTCCTAGCTTTACATTTCCAGTCTATACATTTTGTAGTTCCATTCCACATGTTCATTGAATGTGTCATAGTCATCTCAAATATAATGCATCAAAAACTAAACTATTTCCATCACCATAAAAACTACTTTTTTCCCCAATTCTTTTGCACTTCAGGAAATGAGATGACTGTTGATCTAGCTCCTCAGTTGAGAAAACTGGGATATCACATCGATTCCTTCTCTCATATTCTCCCTACATCTAGTTCACTTTCCAGTCCTATCAATTTTATTCATAAGATACATTTCAGATTCATCCATTTGTCTCCATTTTTGTTGTCAACACTGTGGACTAAGGTGCCGTGATCTCCTCCCCTTTGACCTCTGCAACAGTGTCTCCGTGCTTCCTCAGTTTCCCCCCTCAATCCACCCCTGATTTAAGGAAGTGATCTTTTAAAATGAGAATTAGATCATGTCATTTTCTAGCTTAAAACTCTCCAATGGTTTCCACAGGTCTTAGAGCAAAAGCAAGCCCTTTGTCTTCACGCGGGAAGGCTGGCATCCCCTGGCCCCAGCCTGCTCTCCAGCCCCGTCCAGCTGCCACAGGGACTTTCTTTCAGTTCAGGAGGCACACACCAAGATCGTCCACACCTTTGGATATTTGCAGATATCATTGCTGTACTGAAAATATGTTTGCAGGACTAGCTGTTTCTCAGAGTTGGGCCTCAGCTCAATTATCACCCCCCTCAGAGGTTGCCTTAAGGTCAGTTCAGGTATTTTGTCATAATACAATACCGTAGACTGGGTAGCTTAGAAGCAACAGAAATTTATTTCTCACCATTCTGGAGGCTGGAAGTCCAAGACCAGGGTGCCAGCATGACCTAAATCTAGTGAGGGCCCTCTTTAGTTAGGGCTGCAGATTGACACCTCCTCATTGTATCTTCACATGAAGGAAAGAGGGCAGGAGAAATCTTGAGGTCTCTTTTATAGGGGCTCTGATCCCATTCATGAGGGCCTTCCCCTCAGGACCTAATTACCTCCCAAACCTCCACCTCCTCATACCATCACTTGGGGGGTTAGGATTTCAACATATGAATTTTGAGAAGACATACACATCAATCCATTGCAGAGATCTTCCTTGATGACCATCTTGTTGTTCTTTATCAACAAGCACCTTGTTCAGCCTATTCAGAGCACTTTGTATGTTGTAATTATTTATGCATATTACTGTTTTTCTGTCTCACAATGTCCCCTTCCTTTAGTGTAAGCTTTGGAAGGTCACTCATGGGATGTGCCCTAAACTCATTGTGCCAAAGCACAGAGTATGTGATCAATGAATACGCATTTATAAAGGGGTCAATTTCTCCCTAAATATTTAAGAACTCTGATCTAAAAGGACATTTTGAAGATGAAACTTATGGCAGATGGACTGTGACACATTTGAGAGTCTTAATTCAGAATTAAGAATTCTTACTACTACTAATTTAGGTAGTTTACTTCATGTAAATCAAAGAACATTTGCTTTAGAATTAGTATGATCTGGGTTCAAATTATACCTGTACTTCTTTTCCACTAGGTGTTAAGAGTCTCTAGAGCAAGGATTGTTAGTCACTGTGCCTGCCATTGGACGCTGCCTGGCAAATGGCAATTTTTTTTAATCACTATTTGTAGGACTCCTCTAAGTTGAATCTTCCTGGATCTCCATTTTCTCAGTCATAAGCTCATACACTAGATGGATTGGGTTATGATTTTTAAGATCCTTCAAGCTCTCTATGAATAGTATTTTGAATTGAATTGGCTGTTTGAAAATAACTGAGCCATTGTGTTACATATTTCTGCTAACAATACTGAACATAGGCCCTCAAATGATGTATCACCAATATTTTAACACCCATAAGTAGTAGCCCTTTCATTACCTCGTACTTGAAGTTGTATATGAAAAACTCAGAAATTATTGATGAGCAATAAAAAGACGTTATGGTATTAGACACTTTGCTTTGCTGCCTCAACAACAGTGTATCAACACTTCCATTTGCAGTGGAAGGATCCTGAGTCTAGTGTCAGTTCAACAACTTAGGAGACGTGAATAACGGTCAAAAGAAAATAGAGTGAAAAATTGAAGTGCCGGGGAAATAAGAATTAGAAAACAGCAATGAGTCTTTAATAATGTGGTTTTTTCTTATTGATGATGGCAATTGATGATGTCCCTCAGATGGTAACTACATGAATTAATTGTCAAAGAAAGTAGGTTGAGAATCCTATTCAATTCAAAACACATTTATTGGATGTTGGCTTTGTTCAAACCATGTTTAAGCAACAGTAGAATAAACTTATATTAGGCCTAAGAAGAGCTCTTCAGTAGAAGAGTACTGGACATCTCAAATCATAAAGCTGTAGGTTGGAGACAGTCACTCAGTTTCTTCTATAACAGTGATTTTGTGTAAGATACTTAATCTGTGCCATAGCTTCCTACTTACGTTTTTTGGAAGGATGATGTTAAAAATATTTAACGACTTGTACAGTTGTATATATTAATGTTTAAATAAAAAATTTTAAATGTTCTTTTTTTTTATTCCCTAAACAAACTAAACTACATAGTATTATAAATCTGCTTACCAGACAATATATAGTGGTTCCACTTTCTGTGGTTTCAGTTACCTGAGGTCAGCCATGGTCTGAAAAGATTAAATGGAAATTTCCGGAAATAAACAATTCATAAGTTTTAAATTGCACGCTGTTCTAAGTAGAGTGATGAAATCTTGTGCTGTCTTGTTTGTCCCACCTGGGACATGAACCACCCCCTCGTCTAGCATATCCACGCTGCAGACACCACCGTCTGTTAGTCACTTTTAGTAATCCTCTGTTACAGATTGAAAAAACATAGGATGTAAGAGTTCAGTTCTACTTGTGGTTTCACTCATCCACTGGGGGTCTTGGAGAGTTTCCCCCACGAATAAGGAATGACTACTGTATGTTGTCGTTTGAATGATTAAGTCAGTCTTATAATTTCTAAATAATTGTTGATTATGCAAATTGTTGGTTTCATCTTTTCAGTAGAGCTGTCACTTGTTAAATGATCCCATGAGTCAGCCACGATTTCACGTAGGTAATTGCATCAAACTCTTCTAACATTTTCCTCCTTAAATTGTTAGTCATTAGGTGATTTACAATCTCAATAAGTACAGAATTTCTTTTAACATCAATGATATTGTTCATTTTCCTTCAGCTTCTGCTAAACTAACAGCAATTATATTAATTTTTTCCCTCCCTTATAATACTGTCTGAAATTTTTATATATTCAATATTTCCACTACTGACTGTCATTGGAGTCATTTATTGATGTGTCATATTAAAGTAGCTTGAACCCAATCTCTCAGAGCAGAGGAGAGGCATGGCAACACAAGGGTAGGAGCACACGCTCTGCTGCCAGCCTGCCTGGGTTTGAACTCTTGCTTTGGCCTTTACATTTTTTTTTTCAATTTTTTTTTTTTATTTCAGCATATTATTGGGGAGGGGGTACAAATGTTAAGGTTGCATATATTGCCCATGCCCTAAGCTCTCAGCGCTTTAACTTCCTCATCTGTCAAATGAGGGCGATCCTGATCATACACATCAAACCCCCAATAATGTGCCCTACAGTAGTAGTGTGAATGGGGCTGTGCTGCAGTTGGCAATTGCTCCAGTCCTCCTAATCCTCATTCTTGGGCAGGCAGTGGGCCTGGGTTCTTATCTGTCACTTGAGTTAGGTGGAGGCTGAAGGAGTCAGCAGTAGCCTGAGCTGCAAAGTGGAAAGGTGGGCCAGAGTCTAGTAACTTCATCCTCAGTGGAGGTTTTGCACTGAGTTGGTGGGATGGACACTGATAACTGGGAAGGTTCCTAGAATTGCTGTCATTGTCCTGAAAGCCACAGCCAGCCACAGGATCCAGCATTGTCCATGTTGATTTTTAAGATTATACAGATAGCCACCACCAGTTGGGCCCAGCCTAAGTTTTCTGTGGTTCTTGGGGAGGACCAATAGCACTGCCCAGGCAGAATGATTTGTTTTAAACAAACAAACAAACAAACAAACCCTCATTGGAACATGATTTTAGAGACCTGTTATGCCAGAAATTATATTAATATTCTAATGGCTTAATAACGAGGAGGTAGAGCTGATTTCCAGTGTTGAGGGGTGTGATAGGTAGTGCTGTGGCAGCTGAGGAGAGCCAGGGAGATGGTAGGGGCACGAAACTGCAGTTTACCGACCAACATGGCAATATTTCAGTATCCTTACTCATGAAAATTCTCATGAAGATTAAAAGAATTATTACTTCTAAAATAGTTTTTTAACTGCCTGGCACACAGTTAGTTCTCAGTAAGTGTTAGCTGTTATTATTAGCTTCTTTCTGAGAACAATATAATATTTGTGTCTTTGTTTTATTAAATCCTGGTGGTAGGAAAAGCAAGATAAAAATTAGACTAATTTGCAGGACCATTATGCTTCTTTATATCTTATTATAGTTAAACGACCATTATTCCTCCAGGGTCTTTGTTCAGCTTTAGTTTAAATTGATTTGACATTATTAAGAGAAATAGAGGTGGCATTTTGGTAGTGATAATGCTAATGCTTATTAGTGGTATTCTTGTCACTTTGAATTTCATGTCAATATAACATTTTTTTTTCCCTCGGCACTGATCTGTTTTCTTTGTCTGTACTTAGATCAGTGCCTGGCACGTAGTAGGCATTTAGTAAATATTTGTCGATTGACTGAATATATATGAAGGGGTCATTTACGGGGAAAATACGGACTATGGCTAGATCCTACAATAGACATATTAGTATCAGATAGAGTATGTTTTCTCAGAAAAGGGCAAGAGAAAAAATTGAGGCTGTATTAGGTCATTAAATATGAAATGCCTGGTTTTGAATCAAAAATGTAGTTTATTATATTTAAAACAAGAAGCAGTACAATTAATCAAAATATGAGCCTAAACTATCAAAACAGTTTTGCCTCCTAATGGTAGCTTGTTTACGCCGGCAGCGAAGAAACCTGCAGAGCAAGTGGTGATGAAATCACAAAAAGCATTTTCCACAGCTTGTTGAAAATTGAATATTTTTCCTTGCAACAGGTGGTCCAAAGCCTGGAAGAAGGTGTAGTCAGCTGGTGCAAGGTCTGGTGAATACGATGGATGACAGAGAGTTTCCAAGTCTAGCTTCTGTAGTTTGGGCAGCTTCGTTTGTGCGACACGTGGTTGAGTGTTGCCTTGCAATAGGATTGGCCTGTCTCTATTGACCAATCTCAGCTACTTAATCACAAGCATCCTCATCATTTCATCCAATTGGTTGCAGTAGACATCTGCTGTAATTGATTGACCAGGTGTCGGGAAGCTATAGTGGATAATACCAGTGCTGGACCACCAAACAGATACCATTAGTTTTTTTTGAGGAATACTCAGTTTTGGACTGTGTTTCTGGACTTCATCTTTCTCCAACCATTGTGCCGAACACTTGCAATTGTCAAAAAGAATCCCTCTTCATCACACGTAACAATGTGGTGTAGAAATGGTTCACCTTTATGTCATGACAGCAAAGAAAGGCAAGCTTTGAGATTTCTCTGCTGACGCTAGTTTAATTCATTTGGAAGCCATCTATCCAGCTTCTTTACCTTGATAATTTGTTTCAAATGGTCCAATATTTTTGGAATAGTAACGTCAAACCTTGCTGCTAATTCACATGTAGGTTGAGATGGATTTGCTCCCGCTACAGCTTTCAGCTCATTATTATCCACCTCGGCCTCAGGTTGCCCACATGGTTCATTAAAACCACCAGAATGGAACTTTTCAAACCAGCAATGTACTGTGCATTCATCAGTCCCATCCTTCCCAAACACTTTGTTGATATTTTGAGCCGTCTGTGCTGCACTGGTTCCATGATGGAACTCATATTATAAAATAACAAATATAAATAAAATATAAATAAAACAAAAATAAAAAAAATTTTTGATTTATCTTTGGCTTCACAAAAATTGCTCTTAAAAAACAGTTGAAAGAGTCTCACAAGCCAGAAGGTGTGTTTGAAAGACTGAGGATGTACCTTCACAATAACAATAAAGTAAGTGTCAAAGTGAAATGTCAGAGATATCAGCTGTCAAACTTAGTATTTAAGGAAACCAGACATTTCATACTTAATAACTTAATACTTTAAGTGTATTGGTCTAAGAGGGAGGAGTTGTTTGTAAGTTGTTAGGGTTTTCTGTGTTGTTAGTGCTGTGGACAACTTTCTTGTAATGTGACAAATGTTCCCTAATGTCAGTGATGAACGGTTGTGGCTTGGCTGTCTGCCCCAGGAGTACACGTCTGCTTGGGAGGAAAAGGACTTTCTGTGCTTCCTACATTCTAGACAACAATAGACCTCAAAAGCTAATCCAGTGCGAGGTGCCCAAGGACAGCTTAGGCACAATGTTATTGCAAAAATATCACCCAGATGGCCTCATCGCTTGTCTTTAACATCTCTTTTCTTTGGCTTTTCCCTTCCTTCCCTTTATCTAGTGAAAAATCCCCACATCTGGGTCCTGCATCAGGAGATCTATTTCTTTCTCAGAATTTGATTTCTTTACCTTCTCTCTAGCTAGAATGTTTACTATGGCGCGTGTCTGCCGTAGACAACATTCAATACCTATTTGTTAAATTAAATTGGATATTACTGTTTCAGCTTCTCTCCTCCGCTTTTCACTTCTCTTTGGACATTTCTTGTAGCTACCTCAGTTACCTCCCAGCCCAAGGTCCTCTAGCGTGCTCACAAATATGCACAGTGTGTTTGATCAGTAAGAAAGTAGAGTGACAGCAATCCAGTGCGGCCACCGGCCACTGCGAAGACACAGAGGGAGGCCGTGATGGGTGGAATCTACAGACGCAAAAGCTTCCTGGGAATAGAGAACTAACATCGTTTGTCCAAGCAGATTCATGTTTATTGTTAAACAAGTGACACCTCCACGTTATGTTTTTGTGCTTATAGGAGTTTAGATTACAGTTTGTACAAACCTGTAGTCTTAAAATATTAAACATTGATATTGAGGTTTGCAAATTAAAACACATTCATTGACTTTTGTTTTCCCACAGAATTTTGTGCGTCATCACTGGGTGCACAGGCGCCGGCAGGAGGGGAAATGTAAGCAGTGTGGAAAGGTAAGAGCCCAGACTCTCCACCCCGTCACGGGCGGCTCCTCGGGCCCTCGCGAGCACCCTGTCCCCAAATCCAGTGTTCAGCGCGTCAGTCTCTTTATGAAAGCCCTTACTTGTCCAGGTCCCCTTTGCTTAAGAGGCGTTTTAGTTATTCTAGAACTCACTGCAAGAGGCAGTGGTCTTAATAAAAGGAATCATCACATTTTAAGAGAGATGGATGCATTTTCACAGTGAATTTCATTGATTGTTGATTTTTAAAAACATAACTTTTCCTATTTTGGTAAAACTCCCTCATGAGCATTATGGGCCTGTTATACCTATTTGATTAGTAGCAGCAAATCAGTGAATTGTTGAGCAACACTACTTTTGCTGATGTGTAATTGTGGCTGAGCAGAACTGTTTAGAAGGACAACATGGTCAGAAGCTAGAAACGTGTTGCTCTCTTGGGACATTATCCAGTTCCTGGAAAGAGATGCCCTCTTTATGGTTATTTATGTCAACCTCCTCTGTCACTATCATTATAGATCCCTCAGAATGCAGGGCACTTGGAAAAATGAGGCAGGGCCAAGGGTGGGGGTGTTATGGCTATATGTCGTCAGACTCCATAGGTTCTACATGATACTGACCCCAGGCTATTTGGGTGATAGCTTTTTCCAATGTGCAAAGATCTACTTTAGGGATGCCAGGATGCCCTGGGAAGGTTAAATTGGTGGTAAATCACACTGTAAAGATTTTTTTTTTTAAGTGACAGTACTAGTAAGCTCATGGGCATCAGTAAAGGGAAGTTTTGATTTGACGGACAGCAAGATAATTTGGGGGAATATATTCCTTATCAATTTGTTTATTTATTCATATGACTCCTTTGGGTCAGTTGCTGGTGTGACCAGCACAGCATTTTTGATTATAGAGGGATGCAAGGAAATATTGGCTGCCCTGACATGGGGTAGTGGAGGGTGAGAGAGACTTGTAAAAAACTTCATTACTTGTGCTATTTTGGCTAGCATCTGGAAAGAAAATATGCTCTAGTCATTGGTTGCCAAGCCCTTCTCTGGATGGCTGCACACCTTAGCCTCATTGGCATAGTCCCCCATTATAACTGGTATCATCTCCTCCTATTCAACCCAGTGGCTCTCAGTTAGTTCCTTGTTGACTGCACAGAGAATGGACAAAATAGGTTGAAAGGGGGATGAGGTGAAAATAAACAGACAAGGAGTAAGGGGGATGTGGGAAGATTCTGACCAGCCATTTTACACGGTGGGGGGGGAAAGGAGGCCAGACGTCTATTCTCACATGAACTTTTTTCATTGGGTCCATCCACCTCTTTCCTCTATGGTGTTGCTTTGAGGTATGTGGATTTCCTCTTTGTGGATTGTAGACTATCTATGACTTTCCTGTGGGGGGTGTATCTAAGAGAGAAGAGACAAGACAGACAGGTACAGCCAACTTTGGGGTCAGAGATGTGAAGAATAGGAAGAATCTGGATGAATAGGTTCTCCACTTTGAAAAAATATCCTCAGGGGAACCGAATAGCTGGCACCCCCTCAACAATGCAAATCCTATGGAGTTGGAAGAATTTTATTAAAAGAAAATCAATAAACATCATATATTTTGTGACAAATGTTCCCTAATGTCAGGTTGCACTCCCTCTACTGGTCTTATGTTGGCATGGTCAGCCAAATCAGAAGAACTAGGCTCTCTGTGCTCTGAGTTGCTGTGGCCCTGTCTCCTGGCCTGCCCCAGGCTCTCAGGCAGCCACCGTGGAGTGCTCACAGCTCGCTGCTCATCTCAGTTGTCAGTGGGGAAGTCAGTGATCCCGGCTCTGCATACAATGTTCCCCACATATTGTACTCTTATATTCATTTCTGTGTTAAATCCAGCCACTCATAAATTCTTTGAGACTCAAGCAATTATGAGATGGGAGGCCTTAGACTTGTCTGTACTTGCCAGATAATAAATTATCCTTTTTAGGTCCAGCTTCAACCCTGGACTAGAGGAAAGCTAATGTCCCTATTTCTATTTACAGATTAAGTGATTGAAAATTCACTTCAAACCTTGGTGCCATACATGATTTCTATCAGTAGGGTCTCACATAGTCATAGGCGTACCCAACACCCTCCACAAACACACCCCCCACACACACACACAGACACAGACAATTATTCCAGAATATTACTCATTGGATGGGGTGAAAATAATCACTTCACTTAGCAAAACCTTTTTTTTTTTCCCAACTGAAGATTTTTAGGGAGTGTTTATGGTTAAGGAGCATTTGTGGTTTCAATTTCTACTTTAAAAATCAACAATAAAGTAAATATTTGGATTGATTTTCTCATGAGCTGGCTGAGTGTGTGTGTGGCATTTAACAAATAGCTGATGAGAGACAACTCATGATTCAGTCGCTCAGTATTAGCTGAATACCCCAGGCTGCCAAGTTTATGACCATTCCGTAGCTTTACATTTTTGGCGTTCACAGTCCTATATTATGTCAGACTCAGGGTCCGGGTGGAAAAGAGATGAACCATTCACACTCAAATTATGTCATTTGATGAGAGTTTAATAAAGAGAATATTTAAAATGTGTGAGCACAGCATAAGGGAACCACAAGGGATCGTGAGGAACATGAGACTCAGAATGGCAGGGAGCCATGACCAAGCCGAGTCTGAAGAGGCAGAGGGGTGGACAGGACCCCGTCACAAGGGCTGTGACCTTTAGCTGCAAGACCAAGACTCAGACAGCCGGAGGCGACCAACCAGCTGGGGAATAAATACTCCAATTCCACTTAACTTCAATGTCTAGTGGCCAAAACAGTAGAAACCAGAGCCCAGGGGATTCTTTGAGGTAATCCATAAGAGCCAACTCTTTATAATAGGACAGAGGACAAAGGAAGATGGAAAGTGGAACTGGAGAGGCAGATGGGCTTGATCTAGCACAAATTGTTCAATGCAAACCTGCGTTGAGTCAATGGTTGGAGGCAGAATGCATATTTATTCTGCAAACGTGTCTCTGACTGATCTTCACTACACGTTGCATTCCTTCAAACTAAATTTATTAAATACCAAGTTGTTCATAGTACTTTTAAAAATAAATATGCAAAGAAAAAATATAATAATCATTATGGCTAATCTGACCCTTCATTTTTTTAAGGGAACCAAGTATCTGAACCTAGCAGCAGTATGGTAATTGTGGAAATATGTCTGTAAATCACAACTTGAAAGCTTATTTTTTATTTCTTCATTTAGAAACATATGTAAAAGATAAAAACAAACCAGCCAACTTTTTGAAACTCAAAATTCAGGCTCACACCTGTAATCCTAACACCTTGGGGGTGCCGAGGCAGGAGGGATCCCTTGAGATAGGAGTTTGAGACAAGCCTGAGCAAGAGTGAGACCCCATCTCTATTAAAAATAGAAAAAATTAGCCGGGCATGGTGGCACATGCCTGTAGTCCCAGCTACTTGGGAGGCAGAGGCAGGAGACTCCCTTGAGCTCCTGAGTTCAAGGTTGCTGTGAGCTAGGCTGACACCATGGTACTCTAGCCCAAGCGACAGAGCAAGATTCTGTCTCAAAAAAAAAAACAAAAAAACAAAAAAACACAAAAAAACCCCTCAAAATTAAAAAATTTCAAACATCAGATTTTGAAAGCAGTGTTTAGTGCAATACAGATTTGAGTCTGCCTTATCTGAAACTCTTGGGACCAGAAGTGGTGCTTTAGAGTTTGCATTTTGAAATATTTGCCTATACATTATTAGATATCTTGGGGATGGTACCCAAGTCTACACATGAAATTCATTTATGTTTTATATACACCTTATACATATAGCCAGAAGGTGATTTTATACACTATTTCAAATAATTTTGTGCCTGAAACAAAGTTTTAGCTGTGACCCATTACATGAGGTCAAGTATGGAATTTTCCATTTATGGCATGATACTAGCACTTAAAAAGTTTCAAATTTTGGAGGATTTTGGATTTTCAAATTAGGGGTGCTCAACCCATAATACATAGTTCAACTTTGGTCTACATTTTTTATATCTTTCAGTTCTCTGGCCAAACATGCCACATCATTATGAATTATTTGTTCATAAATCATATATATTTTCATATATATTAGTTTGAGTAAATGAAACAACATGCAGCATTTGTTAAATTGGAAAATATCTTTATTTGTAACAAATATTGTTAAGAACTAATTGAAAATGAATTTATAGTGCAATATATAAAATATACACATCCAAAAAGGTGCACTTAATAGCCTTTTTGCAATGCAAAAATGTCAAAGTGATTAAAAATATACCATGGGAGTTAAGTTGGGTTATTATATGGATAGTGAAAGGGATTCCAGGGTCTAACAATAATGGAAAATGCTAGCCTGGGGCTATTGGGTATGTTCCATTATCTGTTTAAGGCACTATTCTTTATGGATCTGAACATGTGCCTGTCCTGGGGGTCAGCTTCCAAGAGACCCTGCCAGGTTAGGGACAAGGAATGGAAGTTCAAGAGTGAGGGTTCATGCCCTGGTTGGGCAGGTTTGGTTCTTTGCCTGTGTATTTGTCCAGTGTAACAGAGGAACCACCTGACGTTAGCCCCAGGAGGGTCATTGAGGTGTAGAGTGGGTAACAAGAGGGCAGGGAATCCAAGGGGCTCCACAGAGCCCTTGACCACGTGACTGCTGGGAGCCCAGCCTGCCTTTCTGTCCTTGGCTGAGCATCAAGAAAGGGGACAAGGACAACTACCATTCTACTCTCTGCTCCGATGAGTTTTGACTATTTTAGGTCTCTCGTATATGTGGTGCCATATGGTATTTGTCCTTCTGTGTCTGGCTTATTTCACTTAGCATGATGTCCTCTGGGTTCGTTTGGGGCAGGGAAGATGGTGGGGATTAGTGACAGGATATAGTTTCAGTCACAAATGCTGAACAACTCCTAGAGATCTATCGCATAGCCTTGTACCTGTGGTTAACTACTGAATTGTGTCCTTAAACACAAGAGGATAGACCTATTGTT